TAAACAAAGGTACGTATTTCGGTCACGGCGACCAGTGTTAAATCCGACTACACATATGCGCTGGTCCAATCTCTGTTCACTTACTGTCTTAGTTCGATGGGACTCTGGGATGGGACAGGACAATCGGGACAGCTTTACGTGCTTACCGAGGCACGGCGCTGAAATACCGCCATATTTCTGTCCGGGCTCCGGGCTGCTATTGAGAACATCGTGATAAAAAAACCTAACTGATTTTGATCCAATCTAGGATTCGAACCCAGGACCACATGATCAACAGTCAAGCCTACAACCATTAGATCGACGAGGCAGTTGATAAAACATTTTTATATATATATATATATATATAAGAGCGTCATACTTCCACGGACTCCTTAGCTTTCTCTGTGGTACTACTAGGAGCCGTTCAGCCTAATGAAAGAGTAGGTCCACCTAGTCTAAGTACCACCTAGTTTAAGTCCTACAACTTTATACATCTTCTTGAACGGTGATTTCGCAAACCATATCCCGTTTTTTATATTTGAAACATTGGAAGTATTAACCGTATCATTTGTACATTGAATTCTACTGAACAGCAATTTTCCTTAAAGAATACAACTTAGCGGAACTTTATATTCACTTGGAAAACATTTTTTTTATATAAAATAAGGGTGGCAAACAAACACACAGTCCATCTGATGGTAAGTGGATGCTGTGGCCCATAGGCAAATACATCTAACCTCGTATAAGAATCAAACTGCTGATGCGTTGTCACCCTGGAGGGCTCAGAGCAAATGCCCCACATTTACTATAAAAGATCTCCTGTTCTATACACTCACCATACGAAATACAGCAGCAATTTTACGCTAGTACTCTGTTGGAACGTAATACTTCCCATTGAGCGGACTCATTCGTGCTACAACCATAATATACTCGTAGCTGCAGCTTGGCTCTACCATGTAATATATAGAAATAAAAAACAAAAACTTAAGTCCAATAAATTTTTGTCACAGAAATATAATATAATGTACGACAATTATTCAGTAATTTTTAATACTGCCTCAGTTTAACGATTTCTTATATTTTATGCGAACGCTATACATATAAATTAAACTAGTTTTTATGGATTTTATCGCCTATATCAACTTATTTTATATTCCTGACAATTCGAGCACTTACAGCACCCACGGTCACGGGGGGATTAATTTCAAGATCAAGATCAGTAATTAAAAATCGGTACATAAATGAATATAAAGTATATAATATGGGATATATGATATATATACATATAATGGGCGATTTTTTACCATATGGAAAAAATAGGGCGTAACAGGTAAACGGAATAGAAGCCTATGGCATATATTTACATTTTTTTATTTTATTTTACATAAACATAATTATGAAATTGATATATCAATAAATACTACTAATTTGATATAATCCTTCGGTACTGAAAAATAACAACAAAATTTTTGAATTAAATAAATAAATCTATTAAAAAACGAATCGAAATTAAAATAATACGAACCTAATTAATTATTTAGTATTTAAATTTATTGATAGATCACATTCATATGTTGTAAAACAAAAAAAAAATTGTAAAATATCTATGCCATACACTTCTATTGTGTTCACCTGTCACACCCTATTTTTTACAGACGGTAAATTAAAAATCATTCTGTATATATACATACATCCCATATTTATGATATAGGCTGCACCTTTAGTTTAGTTTAGTACGACATCATTAGTTAGTGAATACTTTGTAGGCTTTTGTAATAACTTAATTTTAATAATTAATTATGTTTTTATATTTGTATGTTTTCCTTAAAAAGGCAGAAGAGCAAATATTATAAGTGGTACTAGATGGAGTGACGACCTGAAGAAACACGCAGGCAGTTGATGCATGCAGGTGGCTCAGGACTGTACTTTGTGGCTATAAAATATTAGCATGCTATGTAAAATAAGCAAAACATGAGCGCCCGTTCTTACATGTTAACAACATTTATGCCATGTTTTACGCAAATAAAGATTATTATTATTTTTATTATTATCTATGGAAGAGGTCTATATTCAGCTGCGGCTTGTGATGAGCTGTGAAATTTATTCAGAAGGAACAATAATCAGAAGAACCGGAAGAAACCCAGTGGAACTTTTTTTTAAGTAATAATTTCCAATAACCTATTTCATACAATTTTATTAAGGTGCGTCATCAAACGATCATAAAGGTTTATCTGCAAAATATGTTTTTAAGTGTTAAAGTAATTTTATTTATAATAGCACCAAAATCTACTCAGGCTTATCTGTGGTCAGACGTTTTACTACACAAGCCATAAGTTTTTGTGTTATAGCGGACAATCTTTAAGTAAGAAATTTTTACCAGATTACAAACACATTCGGATAGTGTAATAATATTAACTTATTGATCATTCATTTATAGGAAAGTAAGTCAAAATTGTAAGATATTTGTTCCTATCAACGTCAATAAAGCAGTGAAGGGTAAATTATAGTACACATGTAAATATATATTTTTTTTAATTTTATAATCTTATATGATATATTTAGGACCTTGAATATAATTATATGAAAGAAACCTATTTTTAATACCGATTGGGTAATTGTACGCGATAGGCGAGGTTTTTGAAAATTTATGTCAAAACAAAAACATGATGAAAATGTGTGAGTGTTATATTACACGTACGTAGTGTTCGGGTTATTCCGGGTAATTACAATTTATTGTTTAACCTTTTTTATCACTGTAGAATACTACAGTGAAATATAATGAAAGGCTGATAAAATGTTCATAAATTAACTAAGCTGATTTGTCATGTGCCAATGTGCCTAAAAGCTAATAAAAATATTGGCGGTCATTGTTTTTCTCATTACATTACTAGCTTTTTATCCGTGGCTTCGCTCGCGTGGGCTTTAATTTAGAAACACCTATAATACTATTTTGCACTAAAATTAGCAAAATCGGATCACTTGTAGAGACACATAGGTATATGTATCTATACTGGCAATATTATTGGCTACAGAAACACATAAGTTAGTTTATCAGAATCGCATAAATATCACATCAAGCAACACTTTTATATCGAGCACGTCTTCCGATGTCTCTTTATGAAGGGAAAATTGTCCTGGAATCGGAAATTTCTTATTTATATAATATGCAATATGCATTATTAAAGTTGATATAGTTTTGATCAAATAAGGTTTAATTTCATGGCCTTTATTAATATTGGCCCCATTGAATACAGTATTGATTAGCACCACATGCCAGTATTTTTTTACGTTCGAGTAGACTTTAAAATTTCATAAATTGATCAATAATGTAAATTTTACTACTGTAATAACATGTATACCTACCCATATTGTGCAAATAAAGACTTAAATAGAAAATTCAGTCAATTGCTAAGTACTTTTTGTACAAAACTAAGTCATTTGGCAAGCATTTTATTGAAGTAGGCTTATGAACTACACTATTATAAAAGTGGTACAGTAGTACAGCGGTAAAAGTAAAGTATGGCTTTCAATAAGTATTTCATGTAATCTATATTAAATAAAAATTCATCATCATCATCATTACAGCCCTTCACAAGTCCACTGCTGAACGTAGGCCTCCCCCATCTGCCCCATCACCTGCATCCATCGACTTCCTGCATGTCTTACCAGGTCGTCACTCCATCTAGTAGGGGGACGCCCTACACTACGCCTACCGGTACGAAGCTGACACTTGAGAACCTTTCTTCTCCATCGGTTATCGGTTCTTCGAGCTATATGGCCGGCCAATTGCCACTTCAGCTTACTAATCCGTTGGGCTATATCGATCACTCTGGTTTTACGCGGATATCCCCATTTGAGTCTATCACGCAGAGAAACTCCGAGCATTGCCCTCTCCATAGCTCGCTGAGCGGCCTTGAGCGTCCTCATACGGCCAGCAGTGAAGGACCACGTCTCAGATCCGTAAGTCATCACTGGCAACACGCACTGGTTGTACACTTTAGTTTTCAGAGATTGAGGTATACCTGACGAGAAGATGTGTCATAATTTCCCGAACGCTGCCCAGCCGAGTTGAATCCGTCGATTGACCTCTGGGTCGAAGTTGGATTTACCTAGTCGGACTATTTGTCCCAGGTAAACGTACTCGCCAACAACTTCGAGTATAGTGCTCCCAACAACTACCTATAGGTGTGATATGGACATTAAACATGATCTTTGTTTTGTCCATGTTCATCTTAAGACCTATCCGAATTGAGGTCATTGAGCATAGTGCTAAGGTCCTCCAGCGATTCTGCCATAAGGACTATATCGTCGGCAAATCGAAGGTGAGTGATGTACTCGCCATTGATGTTAATACCGTATCCTTTCCAGTCCATTAGCTTGAAAACGTCTTCCAACGCAGCGGTGAAGAGTTTCGGGGATATAACGTCACCCTGTCTTACACCTCTCTGCAGTTGGATAGGTTTCGGACTCTGGTTCTGTACTCGGATAGCCATCGTAGCTCTACTGTACAAACACTTCAGCACTTCGATATACCGACAGTCAACTTGGCACCGCTGAAGGGACTGTAGAATCGCCCAAATTTCCACGGAATCAAAGGCTTTCTCATAGTCCACATACGCCAGGCAGCAAAAATAAAAATTATTTTATTCAATTCTATTCAAAAATGATAATATACATCATGTTTTTGTCTATGCAAATCAGAGTATTTTATAATTTCTTAATAATCATAAAATATACGGAATTTTAAAACGATTGTAAGATTCTTATAAGTTACCACTTCTATGCCAAGTAGGTCTAATATGAACATTTCAACTGTTAAAATAAAGTCCTGTATTTTTTACGTGAAACCTGGTAACATTACACAAGTTCTTAACCGGACCGAGGTAAACATATACGTCTGTGTTTGGATCAGTTTAAACGTAGCTCTTTGCTGAGCATTGCTCTTGGGCCTGTATACATAGTTATTCCATTCTGCTCTTATAATCAGTCATTTGCAGTGTGTAAAAGTGTGAACGTGCAATATGCGAATTGCGGTGAGTACATAATGTTTTGAATTATGTAAAATCATGGTATTGTATCGTTATTTTAATTGTTTTGTGGAGTCTGTTTATTTCTTAAATATAAGTCGTCATTTTGTAATGTCTATTATTGGAAGAGAACCGGTGCGACCCTTTTTACTGGAAACGAGTCATTCCCTCTTAGTCGGCAAGGGGTGACGCATATGCATTTTGATTCTTAACCGAGACTAGCTGCTGATGTCTATAGGCCATAGCATTCACAAACAGGTAGAGTGCTCGTTTGTCAACCTTATTCTATAAAAGAAAAATTCAATATTATAGACACTATTACTCCAAATTCTAGGTAATAGCCTAAAGTATTGCAGAAAGTCAACATTACTAAAGCCAAGCCTTTTTTTTTTTTTTTTGTTAAAATCAAAAACTTTTTAACCGACTTCAAAAACAGGAAGAAGTACTCAATTCTCAACAAAAAAAACAAGAACTTTTTCTAGTAGAAACGATTTTGATTAGTTCTTTAGTTTAATTTAAATCGTTTTTAAGAAGAAGTCTGTGTAGTTGTATGGTATAATGACGCTGTTTGTTAATTTTAGCCTTCCATGTATCGAGAATTAATTATGATATTGAAATCAGACTGGTTTCATTCAAAGCTCAATTAAGTAATTAGAATCTAATCAAGTTTATATTAAAATCAGTCTGGCAGTGATATTGTAATGAATACAATATGACTCTCTTAGTCATCGTGTTTTTAATCATATTTCTTTAATTACTTTAAGGGTGCTTGGTGTATACCTGCTAATCAATCAATACACGTACAAATAGTCTACTATTTTATAGTTATACCAATTGTAAATGGAGTATTTGGAAATTGATTAGTTCCATTAATATTACGAGCTCCAGATATAGATTGAATAATTTATATTAGATTTCGATTATTACCTCAGTCATTAACTTTATTAATGTCCAGAAGAGTTGTTGAAAATGGGACCGGACCTAAACGAACAGTTTATCTTCCTTTATCATCTAATTGTACCGATTAATCAATCATTACATGTACAGATAGTCCACACATAGCGTTTGTCTGTGCACTAGTTTCGCCGGAACTACTAAAAGGATTTTCCATCGATCTTAAAGTAGGTATAAATGCTGATGTATCTACAACTTTGTTTTAATACTATGACTTATTGAATAGTTAACTATTTTAACTTATAATACCGTTGAAAACTACCAAGCAATCGCATTTAGATTGTATTTAAGTCATTGTAACATTCATATTTTAATTGTTAATATCTCAAGTCGCAACATTCCCGTTAGATACGGTAACACGAATATTGCTATTCTAAGTTAGAGATTTTAAGGAATAAATCGACCGTGAAGAGGCGGTGTAAGAATATCCACTACTCCATATTGTACCCTGGGTATCGTAAGAGTCGACAAAGGGAAACAAATCGGGAGATGGGAAGCACCGTCTTCCTTACCGTGAGTTTGCAGCGACGCGATTTTCACAAAAAACATGTTTAAACACTGTTTTCTGTCAATGTATCAAAAAGCGTTTGCATAGTCAAAGAACATTTTGTAGTAAAATATGTTTGACAGTTTATTGTACATTAGTACATTACATATTTTAACTATATTATATCTTTATAACTACAGAAACAAAATGTTTGAAAACAAATTTGTAGAAATATTGTCATGATGAAAGATAAGTTTGAATATCTGTTGAAAATTTCACACAGTTTGTGAGTGGTAACGTCACCATCAAAACTTGTTGTGTGATTTATTTTATTCGATTTGTTTCAAAACATTACGTGTTGGATGTTTTTCGGTGCCAACTTAGGGTAATAACGACTAATAATAAAGAACTGCGGTTGCCAACCCGCTTGCCAAGCTTGGCAACTATGGCAAATATCTCTCTATGAGACAATCTATGGGGAAGGCCTATGTTCAGCAGTGGACATTAATACGGTGTGACGGTAACGGTAACAGTAACATTTCATTACTGTACGCTACAATTTGTGGTGGGCCCGTTCGCCATACAAAAATATATTGTCTCCTTTACTAAAGAATTGGCTAACTAATAAATAATCAATTTTAACTGTCAGTTTTGACTGACCAGTTTTAACAGTGACAGTGAAACTGAGTGTGTGTACGGTGAAAACTGTCAGTTTTTTTTATTATCAGTTAAAACTTAAAACTGATGATATATTGTTGATACACATTTTAACTGAAATGACAGAACTGATCAAAATTAAAACTGTGCGTGTGTAGGCGCTGGTTCTTCAGTCGTGTTGCGATCAGTGTCGCCAACATTTAATTTTCGCTCCCGCTGTATAGAATGCTACAATCGCGTCGAAACCCGTTAAGTATGAATTTTTGATTTATTACTTTTCATATTTATATATTTTACTTACAACATACATACAATATTTACAAGACGCCACGAATTCTCCTGGACTTGTTTCTTTTCGCACGATGCAATCCTTGCATAGAATATCTTGACGTCACTCATTACAGAATTTTTGTTTATAAATAGCAGCAGTTTTTCCCATTTTTAATAAAAACAATTACGAGTATTCTACAAAAACTTTTATTATAGATCAAACATCCGTATTACAAACAAAAGAATTATTTTAAGAATTCAATAGGAGAGATAATAAAATAACAAAAGTAGATTAGACGTTGTACATAATATGATCTCATAGACAAGGATATGCGACTCAAACAGTAAAGAGAGAGAATGTAATAAATAGAGTAGTTGATAGTTTTCTATGTATTCAACAGTAGCGCATCATTTTGGCCGACCAACGACAAAACAGTTTCCGAGCTGTATTTATAAGAATTACGTCAAATGAAAAGTTATGTCTCAACTTTTTAAAGATAAGAATGTATCACACAGTTTTCGTATTTTTAAACTAATAAATGAATAAAATAATAATTTCATTTTTGCTATTTTCAAATTATTTTTATTTTGAAAAAAAAAATCTAGAATAACATAAATTTTTGTTGTCCCGATAAAAAAACACAATTTTTTCCCGTTGCCAACCTCGCTGTCCCGTCAAATATAACGGGAAACCCGTCAAGTTGGCAACACTGGTTGCGATCGCGAAAAGGAAACTGGTCTGTACATGTTTATCCTCTTCGTAGCTCCGTTTTGTTGCTATAAATTAATCAAATAAAGGTGTATTTAAACCTTTATTGGTTGTATTTATAAAAATCAACTATTTACAAACATTATTAACGCTTTTGTATCTATATATTACTTACATTTAAAAATATTAGGCTTCTTTTGTAGCAGACAACTGTGTCCTTCGATCACTTATAAATATACAGTATACACTAACTAAACAACGTCTAACACTAAATTAGTTCGTGTGTGAGAGTAATATGGTCACCTTAAACTTTGCCGCTCTATAAAACCAAATCTAGGAGGAGGACAGAGACAAAACACAAAGTCGTAAACTATAACTAATATATTAAGAAAAAAAAAATACGTGTGACACTCGGGGACTGCCGCGGTAAAGCGTAGCATAGCGTTTTTTATCAACTTTTTGCCTCATTTTTTGCCTCATTTGAAACTTCTTTGTCGTCGTTAAACCAAGATATAGATAAAATTAAATCCGATCATGCTAACCAATCTGCACAAATGCAACACATTACTAAGGAGAACGAAACTCTGCGTGCAGCTAACAAGAGTATCATAACTCGTCTTACGCAGCTTGAACAGCAGACACGAGCTTCAAATATTGAGATCCAATGTGTTCCAGAGAATAGACATGAGAATTTAGTTAACACAGTACAACAACTAAGCAATATCATAAAATGCCCTATAGCCCCAGAAAATATACATTTTTGTGCAAGATTAGCGAAAATGAATACTAAAAGCCCTCGACCGAGATCGATATTAGTAAAGTTCAGTAGTCCAAGACTACGTGACGAATTTTTAGCAGCTACCATCAAATATAATAAAAAAAATAGTACGGATAAGCTTAACACTAGCCATTTGGGAATCGCAAGCGCGAAGAATACTCCAATATACGTTGCTGAAAATCTTACGCCAGAGGGAAAAATCTTACATGCTGCAGCTCGCCGTAAGGCGAAAGAGCTCGGTTTCCGTTTTGTTTGGGTACGTGATGGAAAGATTTTTGTCAGAAAATGTGAAGGATCAAACTATATTCATATACGAAATCATGATACTGTCAATAATTTGTCATAGAGTGGCGCTAAATTCGCTAAACTGGTTTTTTTATTACATAAAGGCACTTTACAGAATAAAATTTCTATTTACTACCAAAATGTTCGTGGTCTAAGATCAAAAACAATTGATCTATTTAATAACATAGTCTGTAATTCATACGATATTGTAATTATGACAGAAACGTGGTTAAGTGGGAGTGTTTTCGATTCTGAAATTTTTGATGATCGTTATAATGTTTATAGGCGTGATCGGGAGAGTAGTGCTTTTCACGCTTCAAAGAATGGCGGGGGTGTACTTATAGCTGTATCTAAGCAAATAAATTCGGAGCGGCTCTTTAGTTTCGAGTCCAAGTGCGAGGATCTTTGGGTTTGCGTAGAAGTAGAAAACGTCCAAGGCAAGTCTGAAAGACTTTATATATGTGCTGTGTATATTCCCCCACCCGTCCAAAAACACATTTTTGAGCATTTTATTAATAACTCGAGTCGAGTATTGGAATCACTCGATGAAAATATAATTGTTGCCGGAGATTTTAATCTAAGTAGTATAACATGGTCTTTAGAGCCACGGGCATATTTGTGCAAATTACTCCAACAGCTATCTACAGAATCTCTTAACAGACTTTCTCTCGTGCAATGAATTGAACCAATTTAATCTAATTAAGAACTCAAAAAATAAAATGCTAGATCTTGTCTTGTCTAATACTAACATTGTTGATATTCTGTCATGTCCTGATCCTTTGACATGTGTTGATCCCCTTCATCCGCCATTAGTTTTTTCGATAGATTTTACAGATCCGGCACCACTAGTCCCTAATAACACAATTACAAAATTTTGCTTCCACAAGGCTGATTATGAAAATATAAGGAAGGATCTAAATGAAATTGATTGGAGGGAAATTTTGGGTGAATGTCTTTGTGTTGATAATATGGTTGCAGTATTTTATGACATAATTCGTAAGTTAATACGGAAATATGTACCTAAGGCTAAACCGCGTAGTCATAAATACCCAGTTTGGTTTACTCCGTGTCTGATAAAATGTATTAAAGAAAAATATAAATATAGGATGAAAGTTCGCAAATATAACAATCCTCGCGATAAACTCTGTTTTGACTTACTGAAAAGAAGATGTGAGGATATGCTAGCATACTCCTACGCTAAGTATATAGAATGCCTTGCTCTCTTTAAAGTCTAACCCAAAGTTGATTTGGTCATTCCTAAAACAAAAGAAAGGTAAAAGTTCGTATCCTTCTAAAATTAAAGACGATAATAAATTTGTTTCCAATGGAACAGACATTTGTAATGTTTTCGCTAGTCATTTTTCGTCAGTATACAGTCGCAATAATAATATCCAAAACTTCGATACTAGTCCTAATCTTATGAACCCTTGTTGCAATGTGTACCTTGATTATATATCTTATACAGTGGACCAGGTTTACAATGTTTAAAAAAAGACTTGACATTAAGAAAGGAGCTGGAGCAGATGGCATTCCATCAATATTTGTACGCAATTGCGCTAACGCATTGGCTTTGCCTATTGCACTGATAATCAATAGATCTCTTAGGACTAGTACATATCCAACCTTATGAAAAGAAGCCCTTATGTTGCCTTTGTTCAAAACCGGTGACAAAGAGGAAGCTAAAAATTATAGACCTATTTCCATTATTTCTGTTTTTTCAAAAGTGTTTGAGAAACTTGTATGTCCCGTTGTTTCATGGCACTTTAAGCAATTTGTTACACCTGAACAGCATGGGTTTGTGAAAGCTCGATCAACAGTAACTAACCTAGTTTCCTTTGTGGAAGACATTACTGAATCTCTTGATACTGGTCAATCCGTTGATGCAATCTACACAGATTTCAGTAAGGCCTTTGACAAGGTTGATCACTCTATTTTACTTGCCAAACTCAAAAGGATAGGTATAGCCAACCCTTTGCTGGACTGGTTTAAGTCATATCTTGCCAATCGATCGTCAACTGTTGTTGTTGATGGTTATGCTTCTGAGCCGTTTATTGCCTATACTGGCGTACCTCAAGGATCTCATCTTCGGCCTTTGCTGTTTAACATTTTCATCAACGACATCAGTAATTGCTTTAAGAATTCGAAATCTTATTTGTTTGCTGACGATCTAAAGATCTTTAGACCTGTCTCCTCAAATTCTGATGCAGAATTCTTACAGGAAGACTTAAATAACTTGACATTATGGTGTCGTAGCAACGGTATGACACTAAATGCTGACAAGTGTCATGTTATAAAATTTTCTAGAAAGAAAACATCTCTTGCAACAACATATTACATTAATGGTCGTATTCTGTCTGAAGTTCCTCACATACGCGATTTAGGAGTTATGCTTGACAATAAGCTTCGTTATAATATCCACATAGATAATGTTGTCAACAAGGGTTTTAGGACTCTTGGCTTCCTCTTCCGTAACTGTAAGCAATTCAGGGATACTCGCACTAAAATAATTATTTACTCAGCCTTGGTACGAAGTATCTTGGAATACTGCAGCGTAGTATGGAATCCCCACTTTAATATTTACTCACATAGAATTGAAAGGATACAAAAGAGATTTCTTTTGCATTTATCTTACGATCATAACCTAGTTAAAACTCTTAGAACTTACGAAGATAAGCTAAATTACTTTAAGCTTCAGCCACTTTCGAATCGAAGACAGCTCCTTGACCTTATTTTCTTGTATAAGTTGGTGAATGGCGTCATTGATAGTTCTTACTTACAAGCCAAATTAAATTTTCGTACCGCATTGAAGTCAAAAAGGCCGTCGTCTTATATACCATTCGTAGAAAAGAGCACACGTTCTCGTCAAGCGCGCTATTCTCCGATTAATAGACTGATGTTGAGTTTTAATGCTATATATAAATTATCACATAAGAATAGTATTGGTGCCATAATGACTAATGATAACAAAAATAAAGATAGAAAAGTTGATATTGACATATTTTCAGATAATCTTTGGAAATTTAAACGTGATTTATTACATTTATATTCCTCAAATAATTGTAATTCACAGTAAAATTATATTATTTTTCTTTAAGCTAAATTGTGATTAGGAAATGATTGTATATTATAATTTATTAATGATTTTATTTTTGTTATGTTTAACGTTCATAAAATTTCTAATGTTAATAACAATAGTGGAATATGCATGATTTAATTTAATTAATTATATAACACTAAATTCTGATATATTTATTGATCTCTTAATTTTTGTATTCAATTTAATTCACTGCATATGTTTTACTTGTGTCTATTTTTTTGTAATGAAATGTGTGTAACACCTATAATTAAGTCTACGCTTAGTTTTTATGATTTTTTGCAAAAATATTATGCTTTTGTTAGTGTATGTCTTGTTGGTGTTAAATAAATAAATAAATAAAATAAATACACTTATGTATACATACACGTTAAGGTTCAACTAGTCGCGGGCTCGAACTCACTCATGGACGCGGCCAAAAAGCACGCTGTCTCACCTAGCATTGTGTCTAAAAGAGATAGAATCAGTTATGAGCAGTTAGCAGCTAGTCTACGCGTACATACGTCTATAATAGTCGCACTCATACAAACACCGTGCCGAAGTCTGCCGAACTGAAACGCCGTCTAGACGATGCACGGCTTTCAACGCCGCACCACAGAATAAATAATAGTACGCCGCACCGCTGTGCCGGTCGGAGTGGGGGGTGTCCGATTTATTTTCGTTACGGAATTTCTTGATTCGGTCACCGCGCTGAAAGCCCGCGACAAAAGCCATGTAATAGCTTAAGAATAGCAAAAAAGATTTGACAATAATTAAAAAAACTATCTACATTACGTCATACTAAAAGTGACTAAAATTATAAAATCAACTGTCATAACAACGTCGATAAATCAACGCTCTTTTGACTATTTATTATTTGATTGACTGTTGAAGAGATATCGTATCACAGCCACACGTAAACAAGGCTGTAGTTTTTTCGTAATAAGAAAGTGATCACATTAACCGGGTGAAAATATTACCCTCACGTACTATATTCATTCATTATAGCCTCTCAAAAGTCCATTGCTAAACATTGCTAAACATAGGCCTCCATCATTAAATTGCCTCATGAGGGGGATTTCACCATAGTTGCCACTCTTGTATAATTAGTTATCAGGAAAATGTTGCAGCCCGTCGTTGCAGTTTCTCTTCTCTGTGTCGTTGGAGTCTCCCCTTACGACACCCACGGAATGATCAGGGTAGTGGGTATTTCTACTCTTATTGACTTCACCGTTGGTCTAGTGATCGTTAACACGATTTTTTTATAGCGTTGGGTGATAGATGAGCACACAGTGCACCTGATACAGTACACAACACAATAGTGGATGCTGCGGCCCATAGACATTCAGATTTATCTTTAATTAAGAGTCAAAATGCAGATGCGTTGTCACCCCTAAGAAGGAATGCCTGAATTCTAGTAAAAATGATCTCCAGTCACGACTCACCATACGAAACACAGCATTAAGCTACTATTTTACGCTGGTATTCTGTGAGACCGTCGTCCTTCCCTGGTCGAGCCTACCCATTCGTGCTACAACTATACTACTAATATAACTGCAGCATGGATCTACCACGTATAATAGTTGCTGTACGCATTATGAACGACGAAGAAAACAGTTTGATTCGATTGTACTGACACCAAGCTGTCCTTGACACCCAGGGTTGACTGGCAGAGAATTCCACATGCCATAAGTCCACCCCATCTACTGCATCTGCTTTAATTTGTTACATTTAATTTTTTTAATAAACAAATGTGTATGTAGTGTTATACACTTCCTGGGCCGAAACCATTTTTTGAGATTGTGTTGATCTTCTTACAGATTTTCTTCCTGATCCTAGCTGCGGTAGCGTGGATGGGTCTTTCGTCGCCGATCGATACAAGATACAAACGTGAAGTGGCGCCACTGGGGTACCGCTACCGTCTGTCACCGATTTCGTGGCGCTATCGTCGGTCACCCATTGAGCAGAACGTGAAGGGACACAATTCGTACCCTCAAGGTACGTTCTCTTTAACTTCCTTCCCAGAAACATAATGGTTCCTATATTTAAAGATACAATTCAACATTATGGTTGCCAACTTTATATCAAATATAGTATTTTCGAGGCTCTCTCTAATTATATATATGGCTAAAATATAAAAAAGTTTAGAATAGGAATACCGCGGGGAACGCTATTAGGTTCATTGCTTTTTTCCCATTTCACCCACTCCAAAATAATTCTTTATACTGATGTCATGAAAATTTTATCCTCTATGTTCTTATTCTTTAAAAAACTTCTGACTACCTTGGTCATTAAACTGATCTCAACTTTAACGTGAGCTTGATCGATATTGATTACGCAACAAATTTGACTTGAATGTGTTTATCCTTACTTTAACCCACAAACTCAACCTCACTGTTTTACGTTATTTACGTGGAAGAGCCACGCTGCAGCTATATCATGGTTGTAGCATGAATGGGTCAGCTCGACCGTTGAAGACGACGTTCTCACAGAATACCAGCGTAAAATAGTAGCTTAATACTGCTGTGATTCGTATGGTGAGTGTAGAGAACTGGAGACTCTTTTTATAGACTCCTTTTCCATCTTAGTTCTCAGGGATGCCAATGCATCTGCATTTCGATTCTTAATCGAGGATATAAGAAGTCTATGGGTCACAACATCCATTTAATCAGGTGGACTGTGTGCTCTTTTGTCACCCTTATTCTATTAAAAAAACACTACAAATTACAAGACACTCTCAAAGAGATATTACAATCACTAAAAATCGTAGTGTGTTTTGATTCTAAATTACTCTTTGTGGCACGTAATGACAATATAATTAAAAAAGTAAATAGATCATTTGGGTTTGTTTTGAGAGTTTCCATCGTTTTTTTAAAATTTTAAAACGTAAATATTTTTATAATTTTAAGAATTTTACTTCATTGTGCTGCTGTTCGCAGCCATTTGGCGTAGAATCCAGTGTGGAATCCAAATTACAACATTTTCAAAGATAGTTTTGCAAAACATAATTAATGCTACTAGCGCAATCTAGTTTCTGGTAACAGAGCGAGGAGCGCTTTCTAAAAAGTTCCATGCTAAAACTTTCCCAATAGCGCCATCTAGTATCGAGTGGCGGAACTGGGAGAGAACTTTCTACACCTAGTCGATCGAGACCGGTATGTGCTTGAGCGTTCTGGATGTTTCAGTAGAAAAGATCCTATATAAAGGCGTTAGGGACCGCGACCGAATCAATATTGAATTGGCGATACAAGCGAAGATTTAGAAGCGAAATAAAGTGTTAAGTGTGATTAATTAGTAGTGTGTTTTAAGTTTTTATGGGTTGTCGGTAATTAAAGTGTCATATTTGGTAATTCAATCGGCAGTTTATTGTCACGAACCCTAAGCTAGTAACAATAGGATTGTCCGTGACCATTTTTGCGCCTGCTCTCTCTCCAGACGTGTAGAGTTCGGAGAAAAAATTGTATCAATAATTTAATATTTTTATATATTTTTGTCATAATTATATCCAAGTTGTATCTGACAAAAATATTTAATATAAATCCTGTGGTTTTTCCTGAAATTTTTACTTATGTTCTCCACTGAGTATATAAGGTCTTGGTCGTCATGCGAGTACCGAGTACCCTCTGACGGTATTAAATAAAAGCAGTTTGTTATTTTTAATCACCTTTTATTAGTAGAGAAAAACTCTTTAATTTCTTACAAATTAAGACCACATTTTGTAAAAAAGCATCTTTTATAGATATAAAATCTAGTAACCATTAGCTAGCGTATTTTTTAATTTAATGAGAATATTTAACTTCACACTTGAGACTAATAAAAATTTTGCACAAGCTAAAATTCTTATTAAATTGATTATATATTTACTGAACAAAAGACATATCCTTCATAATTGCAAAATAATGTTATAAATACATATAGTCATTTAAAACTTAGTATGAAAATGTAGACACCATTTTAACATTTATTTATTGTTACATTTTTTACAACAGCTTCAAAATCTAAAGTGACTCAGTCAGTCACGACCCATGACCTCTGTGGTCTGCTTTTGAGTGTGTCAAGATAAAAAAGCCACTAAAAAGCCAATAATGGCTATTCGTGGATCACCAGGGATCACCAACCATTCGTGGAGCCATGATCAACGAGTTTCTTTTTCCTTCCATTGGATGAGCTGGGACTGACGGACATGTGTTTCTAACGGCACGGTGCAACGGCTGCCCAAGCCACAATCGACATTTTGAAGCAGGCATTTCCAGGTCGCCTAATTTCTCGTTTTGACAATTTGCACTGGCCGCCAAGATCGCCCGATCTGACCGTACCAGACTTCTTTTTGTGGGGATTTTGAAGTTTCATGTTTACCGCTAGAAAGAACCCCTTCGTCGTATCTCCTCAGTTTGAAGGCACTCTCCTTGTTGCCTCAGCCAGTATCGGTTTCGTGGTCACTTGAAAGAGAAGGCCGAATTGGCCTCTGAAAAGCTTGGCGTGCTTATCAGAACGGGACACTATTTCATGCAGGTTCGGCCGCACATGGAATACTGTTCCCATCTCTGGGCCGGGGCTCCCCAGTGCCAACTCCTTCCATTTGCTCGCATCCAGCGCAGAGCAGTTCGAATCGTTGGCGACTGAGCTCTTTCCGATCGGCTTGACTCACTGGCACTGCGAAGAAATGTTGCATCTCTCTGCGTATTTTATCGCATCTACCACGGGGAGTGCTCTGAGGAATGGTTCGGACTAATTCCAGCCGCACAGTTTCACCATCGCACATCGCGACAAAACTCGCGATACCATTCATACCATTTGGACGACTGGCGGTCCACCACTAAGCGATTTAAAAGACGTTTTCTTCCTCGCACAATTTCCTTGTGGAATCAACTGATTTTTCCGGACCGATACGACTAAGGGACCTTCAAGAAAACAGCCTATTACTTTTTAAAAGGCCGGCAACGTATCTGCAATCTCCCTGGTATTGCAGCTGTTCATGGACGATGGTAATCACTTACCATCAGCAGCCGTATGCTCGTTTGCCCCTTCTCCTGTAAAAAAACGACGTGAACAAGCCTCGGACTCCGGAAGTTCTCAAGGACAACTTCCAATACGAATGCGTGAACCTATCGCCTGAAGTTTTGGCAAAAGTGATGTAAAATGCTATAAAAAGGGCCCATATGTACATCAATACTGGCGGCGGGCACTTGTACAATATCATCTTACATAAACACTTACGCCTGTCACCCAGAGGGGTAGGCAGAGACTACATACTTCCATTTGGCACGATCCTGACACACCTCTCTCGCCTCCTTCACATCCATACACCTACGCATACATGTTCGTCGGTTAAGGGTACTCCCAATTTGGCCCTTGTTCAATAAATTGCCAATTTGGTCGATAAATTTTCGCCTAGGACGTCCCTTTCCTACTCTGCCATTCACTTCCGCAACATAAATTTTCTTTGTCACTCTTTCCTCATTCATTATTTCCATATGACCAAACCACCGAAGCATTCCTTTCTTAATCCTGGTCACAACATCATCTTGCAAACCACACTCTTCTCTTATCACACAATTCTTCACCCTGTCATTCAGATTCAGCCCTAACATACTCCTTAACGACCGCATTTCTACTGCATTTATTCTACTCTCGTGCTTCTTCTGCCACACCCAACTTTCACTACCATACGTTAAAGTAGGGACCAATACAGCATTGTGAATTGCCATACGTGCCTTTTTTGACACATTTTGACTCTTCACAATAGAGTGTAGGGCCCCATTTAATCTATTTCCTGCATTCACTCGTCGTTCTATATCCTTATCACATCTCCCGTCCCTGCTAAATACGCAACCCAGATATACAAACTCATCTACTTGCTCGATCAACTCCCCTTCTATTCTTATTTCACATATCGTCTTACTTTCTTCTCTTTCAAAAATCATAACTTTCGTCTTACTTGCGTTCACTTTCATACCCCTTTCTTTTAATGATCTGTTCATTAATGTACTTAACCATCATTTGCAGCTCGGCCGCCGAGAGTTAACTTGATCATCGGCGTACAAAAGGCATTTGATGGTTAACTCGCCCATTCTTAATCCGCATTCTTCAACTTTCAAATTTTGCAAACAACTGTCCATAAATAGGTTGAACAGCCACGGGGAAGCCACACATAATAATAATAATAAGCTTTATTGAATGTCCCCTGGCAGTTCTTACGAGTTTCCAGAACATTTTAATATTTGCCTAGAAGTTATCCGATATTCTTCTGTCATTCTTATCCGTTCCTTCTTGCTTTTTCCTTTCAACTACTTCTTTTACTCTCTTATTTAGATGTCTAAAGACTGCCTTTTTTTTCAGTATCATCATTCGTACCTTTAGAATTACCAGCCTTTGTTGCTAGTAAATCTAGCCACGCGCTCTTCTTTGCATCAACTTCCATACGTATCTCATCGTCCCACCATAACGTATTATTTTTCCTTTCATTCTTTCTCTTACTAATACCACATACTTCGGTAGCTACATCCACTAAACCTTTCTTAACATTTTGCTATACATTCTCCAAGTCTAACTCATTCATACATAATTCATCCAAACCACTTATATTTTCTTTCAGTCTACATTTGAACTTGTGTTTCTCACATTCCTCTTGTAACCTTTCAGTTCTAATAAGGCAGTAGTCTAAAGCAGGCAGTTCTGCGCTGTAACGCAGTGGTAGACACAGATGACCGATGGCGCCAACGCCTGAATAGACCATTAATTCGGCATAAAACCAAATAATATCTTCTTCTTAATTGTATAGAAAAATTATTATGAATTAACCTTATATAATCCACAAACAGAACCAAAGCTTTTTATTTGTAAAAAAAATTACAGCCAAAGAACCACGGATGATTAATTTCGCCTCAACCTGTATATTTAATATGAGTATACCATCGGTGGGCAGCCGGTGTACGCGGCGAGCGGAGTCGTGTGCATATCGACTGGCAGGGTCACCATGTAATGCCGCTATTTCATATTAACAGTCTTACACCTTAATCAGCCTTTATAAAAGTCAAAACTTACCTTCTTATATTGTAGCAGTTATATATAATACAAGATTTGCTCGTTTAAAGGTATAGGGTATAGTAGATACTTTCGCGTACTATATGTTTTTAGAATAATCTTAGTATGGAGCCCCTAATGTAATAAGATATAATATATACTAGGGATCCTATGGAAGCAAGGATGATAAGCGAGCTCACAGTACACCAGATGGTAATCTATTGTCGATTATGAATCAGAGTGAGGTTTACAAGATGATGTTGTGACCAGGATTAAGAAAGGAATGCTTCGGTGGTTTGGTCATGTGGAAAGAATGAATGAGGAAAGAGTGACAAAGAAAATTTATGTTGCAGAAGTGAATGGCAGAGTCGGAAAGGGACGTCTTAGGCGAAAATTTATCGACCAAATTGGCGATTTATTGAAAATGGGCCAAAGTAGGAGTACCCTTAACCGACGAGCATGTATGCGTAGGTGTATGGATGTGAAGGAGGCGAGAGAGGTGTGTCAGGATCGTGCCAAATGGAAGTCTGTAGTCTCTGCCTACCCCTCTGGGTGACAGGCGTGAGTGTTTATGTATATGTATATGTATATGATTATGAATCAGAATGCAATCCTTACCTTTATATAAAATTACGGTTCTGTATTACAGCTGGCGCAACATTTTCTGCACTGGAGTTGAAAGTGAAGAAAGGCGAGTACGTCTGCGGCAATAAGATCTGCAAGTTAAAGCCCGGGGGAGATACCCAAGGGCTGTCATGGGATGTGTCAGTACCCGATCTGAATCATTAAAGATATCGCATTATTGCAGTTATTTTATGAATCCTATATCAACATACGAGCATAAATTTGTCTGCAATCGCGTCCTCTAACAGTTATAGTATTATTATATTTCAATATGATGATTTAAAATTAAATGTTAAAAACATTTTATGTATTTTAATTTCGATTTTTTAACAATAAAGGGAAAAACGATGGCGAAAAATCGATGTAGTTTTTTTGACTTCCATCAACGCACACTAAGGATACATTGATGCTGTATTTTACGAGTACCTGGTGAGTGGTGAGAACTAGATACGCTTTTTGGTCTCATTTTTGGGAAAATTTAGTTCCTCCGTGTTTACACCCACAAATCAATAAGCTTGACTTGCCCCCGCAGATTTATATGGGCCCTAGCATCCACTTACCAATAAGCGGATTGTGTGCTCGTTTTTCACCCTTATTCTTTAAAAAAGATCTAAACAGCCCGATGGTTAAAACGAGGGGCTACTACGCGGAAGTGCGCGTGTTTTAATCCTGCAATGTGGTCAGGTTTTTATTTTTTCTTCTTTATTATTCTAGCCCACACAGCCCCACAGCTGGGCACAAATAAATTATTATATACAAATAAAATGTTATGTTTACTGGATGACCTTTTTTACCGTCTGGAAAAATAGGATGTAACATGTGAACGGAGTAGAAGCCTATGGCACTGATATTTTACAAAAAATAAAACCAAACATCTTAAATTAAATAGTAGTTAGTTAGTACCAGTTCTGGCTCACTGAATCAGAAGTGGTAGAACGTTCGTCGACTCACGATCCTAAAAAAAGAAAAGGTTTTAGCATGCTTTGATCACGAATTTGCGGTCCGTTTTTGCGTATGATGCACAGTTCCGGACATGTGCAGATCAATTAACTTTTATCTAATTGATATCCGGTGAGGGCCTCCACCGTCATTAGCGTCCCATTGTTCTTAAGTATTGTTGATTGAACACCGTCATTGTCTATTCGTGCGTCAGCTTATCAGTGCTATTGTATTATACTTCTTTGTTCCTAACTGCAACGCTAAACTGAATCATCAGTAAAATACATTACCTAATTTTAAATTTTGTTACAATTTTTATTTACGAAATACATAATCTTATTACTTATTATCTATAAAATAGGAGCGAAACATCTCATCCACTAAAATATCGTTGTACAATGTGTCCCCTGTAAATATACTCGTTAAACTATGCATTGAACATCCCTGAAACTTATATAGCAAATAAATTAAGCAATATTCGCCACAAACTGAAGTCCACTCATTCTGAATCCTATCAACATTCCAGTTCCATCTTTTACAATTCCTTTTTAAAAACTCTAGATGATATCGTACAGGTGCTCGTCCATATGAATCAAAATATTGACCGACGTCATTCGTATCGATATATAAAGCTACCCAATGTGACCCTGGTTTATCATCTGTATCCAAATTGCATATTATATACGTTGGCACGTGGGTGTACAAGGGCAGTCTATTGGCAGCATAAACATTATTTTCAAGACTGGGGTGAATCTTTTTCAGATGTTGTTGTACATCTAGTGTATCCATGATATTACTGCTATTAGTAGATTATTACAGTACAATATACTCAATGACTAACATAGGAATGATTAATTATAGTGATTTTTAGATATTAAATTGCATTATTTTGTGTCATACAAAACGTATTTGAGTCATATATACACTGAAAAAGACGCAACACGAAGTAATGTTGAGATAAGCAACAAAATGTAAGATAAGCATGTTGACGCATAAAGTTACTATCAATTCCACTGCAGAAATTCTTTAGATTAGAATTATTACTTACTGGTACTATATAAGACCAAGCAACTGCAGTCATGGAGTTAGTGTATGGTCGTTTGACCGCAGTGGATCTATTGTAGCGGCGCTGTTGTCGCGCCACTAGCACACCGAAACACCCGAGGCCTAAATCGCGCTGTTAACATTCCGAATCATAGACAGTATATATACAACTTCTCCGAACTATCACTCGGAGTGTGAGCCGCTCCCCGGGCAGAACACCTTGCCCGGCGGGAGATCTCCCCTTTTCCTTCCACGGCCACACTATCAATACTACATTTGTGTTACTTCAACGCATCAAAGGCCATGGATGTAAGTGTTTATTCTATTGACAAACTTACTTTTCTTTCTGTTATTTCCTTACGTGTGTATGATTTAGTGTTAACAAATTATATTTAAATATTGTGTATGTATATGATTAAGCCGTGGTAGCTCAGATGGTTAGCGCAAGCTGTAAATTTCACAGTTCGCGACCCGGGTTCGATCCCCGCCGGCACCAATTAAATTGTTAATTGCAATTTTAAGTGTTTATTCTATTGACAAACTTACTTTTCTTTCTGTTATTTTCTTACGTGTGTATGATTTAGTATTAACAAGTTATATTTAAATATTGTGTGTGTAATATGATTAAGCCGTGGTAGCTCAGATGGTTAGCGCAAGCTGTAAATTTCACAGTACGCTACCCGGGTTCGATCCCCGCCGGCACCAATTAAATTGTTAATTGGCAATTTTATGTGCTGATTTACCACGTGCTCGGTGGTGAAGGAAAACATCGTGAGGAAACCTGCATGTCTGAGAAAATTTCGAAGGCATGTGAAGTTCGCCAACACGCATTGAAGCAGTGCCGCGGACATTTCCTAGCTATAAATACAAAGACAATAGCAGAAAGTCAAAAAGTTAGAAAATACTTTTTAACAATGACAGTCATTAGTTGATCATTAGTGAATGTGATTCTTGTTTACTTAAATTACAGGAAGACAAGAGCAGAAGGAAGAAATGGGATGATGGGAAGTAATGAAGCATTGTTATGTGAAGTTTGTTGGAACAAACATATTTTTAGTCACGTGTAAATACTTTTAACATTTTGGTTCAAAATGACACAAAATCTAAAAAATATTAGATACATCATCGACATGGACGGATTTTACATTACATAACCTCATAAACATTTTCAATGTAGAGAAATGGCTATTCTAGACGTAAAACTATCAAATAAAAATGATGCGTTATTAGATAGTTTTAACTATCGATCATTATTTGTTTCGGCCAAGTTATCTTTTCAATTATTTGTCGCCAAAAGATAAAAAAACTGTTCGTTATTGTGAAACACACGTGCACGGCATTCCATATTTTGATGTGACCGAAGAATTAAAATGTGCCTACAAACAAAAGAACATCATTCCCACATTAAATTGGTATATTAGAAATTTGTGCAAAGACGAAGTGATCGCATACAAGGTGGTTCAACAGAAAAACAATTTTTAAAAATGTTGACGACGAATGATAGAATTTTCAATATTGAAGAATACAAATGTCCAAAATACAATGATTTGGTAAATGTCATAAATTTAAACAAACGTTATGTGTGTAATAATCATATGTTTGCAAAAAATAATCACAAAATTTTACATTGTTCTTGTGACGAAGTGTGGGTTTTTTACAAGTGGTTATTGCTTGAAAATAAAATTTTCAATTAATCGTAAATTTTGTTTGATTTTCCCAAAAACATTAATTATAGTACACAATATATATATATATATATATATTAATTGTTTACACCAACACTTTCATTTTTTATTTCACCCCTTAGAACTTTAGACGTGTGTAATGTTTCACTTTATACATCCGTTTACTGCTATTGTGGCAGGACCAAGTGGATGTGGGAAGTCAAATTTTGTAACAAATTTCATAAAATCAGTTACAGAAATATGTAATGTGATTTTAATCAGATCACATGGTGCTTTGATGAAATGCAACCTTTATATAATTTACCAAATGTTAACTATCATCAAAGAATTCCAAATCTTAATATGTTTGATGGTGAAAACCCACATCTCGTTATTATTGATGATCTAATGAGAGAGTCCGATGTAACTTTAAACTCGAACAGTGTTTTGTATTAGATTAAATAGAAGATTTATAAAGAAATAAAAAATAATATATTGCATACAATTTGTTTTATTTAATTTTATAACGTTTCACATAGTTTCGTACACACAAAATGCATTACACATAACTCATAAACTTTAACACACAACACGTATTATAACCTTAACTACTATAGTCTACAGTAACATTTCTGTTTTTATCTATCTCGATAATATTATCAAACTCAGCATAAACTACACAGTTAATTGTTTGTATTAGTGAGGATTAAAATCATACTTCTAATCTTACACTACCATGCTTTATGAGAATCCAATGAGCTGATGAGTTGGCTGATAAATCAGGAGTTAAATCAAATGCTAATAGACAGTAACCTTTGGTATACTGTTCACAAGAGATTCCATTTCCTTCATTAAGAAAGTGAATACCAATTCCCGAGAATAGAGTATGATATGCTGATGTAAATACACTATTATTAAAAGATGGTTGCAAAACTTTTGAAGGTATTTGTTGACCATCAATATATAAGCTGAAAGAATTAATACCATAGTTTTCGAAGTTAAATGGATTTTTAGTAAGGGAACTATTAAATGCAGAATTGTTCACAAATCCAATTATACATCTTTTGGGTACCTGCTCTAAAAATATATTATCAAGAGTTTTTCCTTGAACACCCGATGGAATTGTTAAAACTTTTACTTCAGCTCGAGTAATATATTTAGCAGTGGTAGAAGCTAAAAATTTTTGATTTGCGAGTAATACACTTGGATTAATTCGTGCTCGTCGAACAATAAGAGTTGCATCCGTAATGCAAACTTTAAACTTTACATCATTTGACCCAGAAATTAAATTAAAACTCTCTCTTTGAACCAATTTAACACTCATTTCAACACCATTAATTAAAAATTTATCTTGGTTGAAAATGTCACCGTGAAGATGACCAATCATTTCTATTTACTTACTTTCACTAATCAATTCCTGTCTTTTAACAAATCCTATGTTTTTACCATCCGTAGAATCCATTTTTCCTGCTGTATCATCATTCCAAAGACTACAAGTTAGATGAGATTGTTTAGCAG